GGGTCAAACGACCCTATCACAGGGGTCGCCCGATTTATAACAGCAAAATGACAGGTATGAAGTAGCAACAAAAATAATGTTATGGTTGGGGGATCACCACCACATGAGGAACTGTATTAAAGGGTCATGGCATTAGGAAGGTTGAGGACCACTGCCCTAAGAGCTTCTCAGAGGCGCTCAGCAGCACGTCCCAGCTGCTCCTAGGTCAGACCTAGACCCACTGTGTGTCCACCCCTCCTGCCCACCACCCATCTCTACTGCCCCTCCTCAGCCCCCACGCCCAAGAGCCTGGCCTGCCCAGAACCAGTCACCGGCCAAAGGGCTCCAGGGCCTCCCTCTCCTCCACACTCTGGCTAGCCAGGATGTTACTGACCAGAGTAAGCAAACCCAGTTTCTCCCAAGCTGTTGCCCCCCACCCCCCACTGCCCACCGTGCTTCCCTTCACCCGTCCCTGGGCCCACCGGCGCCTCACCAATCCGAAGCAGGTTTCGGAGCCATTCTGGGGCACACACTCAGGGTGGCACGGCAGACAGTGTCTGTCCTTCACATACTCCCGGGGGAGCCTGGGGGAGGGGGCAGTGTGAGGGGTCCGAGAGGCGCCCCTGGGCTCCCCTCCGGCCGCCCCTGCTCCGCCCGCATACCCCTGAAGAACTCGGCATTCCTCCACGCACTCGTGGCCCCGCAGGTACTGGCTGCAGTTGACACACTGGGTGGGCCCTGGACCCCAGCAGTGGCCGTGGGCGCACAGGGGGTAGCAGGCCAGGCCCTGGCCCACTGCAGTGAGGAGGGAGGGGCCAGAGGAGGGTGCTTAAGGGAGGGGGCGTGGCCTGGGCTGCAGGGGCGGGGCCAGGCAAGGAAGGCGGGGCTAAGAGAGTCCTGGGCGGTTCCAAAGGCGGGAAGGCCCGGGGAGGGAGGGGGGCTAAGGCAGTGTGGCACCCCACCCACCCCCGCTAGAAGCCATGCCAAGCGGACTCAAGAAGGACGCGTGTTAATGCCGTGCGCTGGCCGGCCGGAGCCCGCGGCCCTGGGCTGCCCGTCTTACCGCACTCGGCCTCGGGCCGGTTGGCAGTGTGCAGCAGGGCCTGGTGAGGGTTCCGGAAGAGCTGGTCCCAGGGCACCGTGTGGACGAAGCAGAGCCGGGCGTTGCGGTGGATGAGGGCCAGCCCGCTGCTCAGCTCCCGCAGCGAGCGCAGCCCCAGCCAGCTGATGGCCAGCCCTTGCAGGGTCAGCGAGTAGGCGCCGCTGTGGGGGGAGGGGTGCTCTGCTGCAGGGGGACCAGCTCAGCACCGCTTCCCCCTTCCCGGTCCTTCCCCACCCTGCCCACTGCCTAACTTCCCAAACTCCCGGAAAGAACTGGGGAGACCTGTTCCCAACCACGCCCACTGCTCCGAAGCCTCCTGGGAAGCCCCTCCCCTAGGCGCTGGCTCCCCAGCTCACTCGTGCAGAGCTCGTCCCCGGATGACTCGAAGGTTCTGGAAGGCACTGAGGTCGGACAGGCTATCTGGCCACGCTGAGATGTACAGGTAACCTGTAGGCACAAGGAGGTTGAGGATGACAGGCAGCCAGGCTGGAGAGGGACCCCGCCCTGACCCAGGGGGACTGCCTGCCCCTAGCCCACCTGTGAGCTCTTGAAGTGTCTCGAACACTCTGAGCTGCTCAGGCTGCAGCGGGGGTGTGTTGGAGGCTGGGTCCCTAGGTGGAGGAGGAGGAGGGGTCAGCCAGCAGGGAAGGGGGTGCACATGGCGCCCAGAGCTGACCCTGCTACCTCCCCACCTTGAATGCCTTCCCTACCAAGCCAGGCTGCTCCCATCCTGAGCTCCAAACGCCGAGGCCCTTGTTTGGCAGGATCTAACATGCAATATTTATATCCTTTGAGCCAGAAATCCCTTTTCTAGGAATGTGGCCCAGGAGGAAAATGAGGGAGGCTTTCTACTCCGTGAAGATTTCCCATCTCGGAAACCCACAGGGGCAGTTCTAACATGACCTCTAGGGTCGCTGTGAGCCCCATGGACTGGAGGGCCATGCATGAGGAAGGTGGCCCAGAGAGGAACTGACCCCTATTCCCAGAGGCAAGGCCAAGGCCAAACTGTTGCTAAAAGTGAAAACCGAAAATGACCTAAATGCTCACGTAACCACCATCAGTTAAACGACCTAACACTCATTGGGAGAAAGACGGGGCCTTTACTCCCCTAAACAGTTACAATCTCGGAAACACAAAGGGGGCAGCTCTACCCTGTCCTATGGGGTCGCTCTGAGGTCCCATCCACGCGATGGCGCTGAGTTTTTGTTTCAACACTCATCCATTACAAGGAACTACAGAGAACCCTGGGCTCTCCTGGCCCGAGACGGAAATCTCGGCTCTCCCCAGTCTTGCCAAGCACAGAATCCACGCCTTCAAACTTTAGTACCTTTTGAAAAGGTGTGGTTAGCACTGCCCCGTTTACAGATGAGGAAACGGAGGCATACCAGAAGGTTGAGCCAGGTTTCAGACTCGAGCGGCCAGCTCCTGCTCGGCTTGCATAAGCACTCATCAAAACAAGAGGCCACACACCTCCCAGGAGGACCCTGTTCACAGAAAGCCCCTCCCCAGCAAAATCCGTGGCAACAGCCCGTGTGTCCCGATCTGCGCCCATGCTCTTGAAGGGTACACACTCTGAACGAGAGTCCCCTCTCAGAAGGGGCACAGAGGTGACGGGAGGGCTGAAGGGGAGTGTTCCCCTTTCTTCTTGGAGTAGAATCACCACGCAAGAGAACGCAGACATTTCCTTTACAGCGTGAGGGTCGAATGCAATCACTCAGGTGAGCACCATCCCAAACATTTCCCCCTTCCCTCGCTGCAGAAATGGCCCCGTGTCCCTTGGCAGTCCTCCCACCCCGGGGCAACGGCCGGCCGTTCTGATCTCTATCACCCTGGGTGGCTCTGCTCCTCTAGGCCTCTCACAAATGGAGCCACTGGTCGCACACTCTCGCCTCGGGCTGCGTTTGCTCTAAGCGTTTTGGAGGCTTCTCCAGGCTGCGGGGATATTGGTAGATGATCTGCCTCTTATTGCTGAGTGGAAGGGATCACAGAGATGGATACACCAGCGCCGGGTTGACTTTTCCCTCCTGGATGGGCCTCTGGGCCGCCCGGGTCTGAGCTGTTCTGAAGGAGACTGCTCTGAACGCATGAGGCCTCTCACTCCACCTGGACGGTTTCACCTCTTGACAAACACCTGAGGTGTTTTGTTCTTTTTTAAGGAAGGTCCCACCGAGATGGACAAACGCCTGTTGATGGCAGGCATATCATTTACAAAAAACGAGCTCCCCACAACTTCCTGCGCCCGCTGGTCCCCATCCCGGCTCCTTAGCACTGCCGGCCACCAGGCCCATTTCACGCGCCGGCTCTGTGTCTGCCGAGGTCTGAACCCCTTGTGTCCTTACCCCGCAAAGCTCTCCGGTAGAAAAGCCAGGCTCCCAAAGATCTTCTTGCAGCCAGCAAACTCCTGGATATTGGCACTGGTGACCGCCCTCACCTCCCGCAAGTGTTCCCGGCCCAGGCCGTAGCACACTGTGGGGAAAGGGGGTCAGGGCAAAGGAACCATCTCAGGACCCTTTCTCATTGGCTTCAGGAACCCAAACTCCTGTGCCCTCTCTCCAGCCCCTACCAGAGCCTCACTTGCCCTTCTCCACACCGCCAGAAGAGAAGGGAAACTTGGCAGAGGCAGTGGAGCAAAGGATTGTGTCCCAGGAGGGTACAAGGAAGCATGGGACAGAGTGGGCTGGGTATCCAGAGAGGCAAGGACTGAGCCCAGGGAGCGGCAAGTAGATACCTTGGGCACAGGGCTTGTTGCATTTCTCACACTGCTGGGTGCCATCCTCCGCTGTCACCTCTTGGCTGTTCAGGGGACAGTCCAGGGTGCAGGAGCTTGCATCCGTAGACAGGTAGTTGTCTGGGGAGATGAGGAAAGGTCTAAGCTCTGGCCTTCCATGCTGTGCCACCATGCCCAGGTATAAGAACAGGGCCTGGCACTGGTCACTCACTCGCTCCTCGCACCCACCTATGCTGAGCACCGCCAGAACCCCATTGGTTAGCAAGAGAGACTAGAGCCCAGAATTATGGAACTGATTCAAGGTCACAGTAGTAGTAAGTGGAGGAGGCAGGATTCGAACAAAGACAATCTGGCTCTCTCAACTACCATGGGGAGGTGATCGCCAGAACCCAACCCCTCCACCACCACCACCACGTTGTCTCTCACATGGGAGTGATACAGATTCCCAGCCACTCCCAGGGGGCCCTGGTGCTCACAGGGACAGGTGGTCACGCAGCTGGCACCAAAGATGTAGCGGCCCTCTGGGTTTAGCACTGACTCGAAGGTGTCCGTGTTATAGGTGAACAGGGACGGGCACTGCAGCTGACAGATGCCACTGTGGTTGAAGTGCAGGCAGGCCTGGGAGGGCAAGCAGTTGGTGGTCATTGGGACAGCCTCTCCCCATGACCTCCGGGCCGGGCAGTGGGCGCAGGGCAGAGTGGCACCTACCAGGCAGTCGGAGTGCTTGGGGCCCGTGCAGCCGGCCGCACACTGCTCATGGCAGCAGTCCGTGGGCAGCGGGCCCTTGCAGCGGGCACAGCCACCGGCACAGATGGTGCGGGTCACTGTCGGGCGGAGGGCAGGATGAAGGCTGGGTGGTATAGCCGGTCGCATCAACTTCCATAAAGACTCCCTGTCCCAGGGAAGACCAGCTCCCGCCCCATGCCCCAGGCCTTGTAGCCCACCCAGCGCCAGCCCCCCAGATTCTGGGCCTCAGGAAGACTCACATCTCTGACAGTCCTTGGGACTTTCCCCCCAGCAGCGGGAGACTTTACAAGCTGGGGAACAGGGCCTGCCTGGGGAAGGCAGCAGAGAGGATGGTGAGAGAGGGGGAAGGGTGACCGGGCAGAGAGACCAACAACCTCGGGGACTGAACACCAGAGGCAAGATGCACAGCTAGGGGCCACGGACACAGGGCCTGAGGCTGGTGGAAATGGGCACATGCAGACCCAGGGCAGGAGGGTGGAGTAAGGGGCACCGGGAGCTGGGGGTCGGGTAGGCAGTCCAAGAGGTGGCTGCAGATGGCAGCGAGGCACTTACAGGCCCGGGAATGGTTGCTATCGACCATCTCCTGGGGCAGCTGGTTGTTCTTGTGGAAGATGTCTTTCCACAGAATGGTCTCCTGGTAGCAAAGCTGGGGGTTCCGCAGGATCTGGACGCCTCCCTTCAGGATCTCTGTGGGATGGGGGGGCGGGGTGGGAGGAGATGATGATCACCACCCGTCTCCTTTCAGACCCTCTCCCCCACCGGAGGGAGTTTCCTGGGCATGGCCTCCAGCATCTTCTAGCCCTCCCTCTGCCACACCCCACGCCCATGGCCAAGTCTGCAGATGGACCAGTGGAGGCCCAGGAGGAGTGCCTGGCTTCACCACTATCTAGCTGCATGCCCTTGAGCACCGTGTGTGTCCTCTGCAAGTCCTCTTTTCTCATCTGTAAAATGGGACTGCCAGGGACGCCGCATTCGAGCAAGACTGAGAAGGGGCCCTGCGTGCAGAGTGCCTGGTCCCCAGAGCATCGGGTCACTGTCAGCTCCCCGGCTGCCCTGGACAGCTGGGCAGGTTGGAGCTGCCAAGTGGAGGCAGGAGCCCAGCCGACGTTCTACTTGTTTGTCAAGCTGCAACGTCTCAGGAGGAAAAGGGCCCTTTTCCTGACTGGCCCCAAAGCACCTTCCCTGCGCACTGGCCACATCCACCCGGAGGGGGCACCATTGACAGTTCATCAAAGACACCCCGCAGCGAGCAATGACCCAAAGACTGAGGATGACCACCTGTGAGGCTTCGCAGCTGTAGCTCCTGCAGCCCCCCAGGGACAGCCCCCGGGGCAGGAGTGGCAGGGTCGGATGTGTCTCCGTTGTCCAACACGGCCAGGGCAAACTTGTCCAGGAAGAGTTGGGTGCCCCGCACGATTCTCAGCCTGTGCAGTGGGACCTGCTGCATCTGGTTGTGGGCGATGAGCACGTAGCCCTGTACCTCCTGAATGTCCTGGAAGGGGACCAAGCGGGGCAGGCACTGAGACGGAGCAGGACCCCCAGCCTCGCTGAGCAGTCTTGCTCCTCATTCATAAATTGGAAGCCCAGCAAGCGCCTCCGCAGACGCCTGTATGATCCAGAAAGGTCACGATGGTGAGAGCGCCCTGCCCTCTTTGCATCTCAGTTTCTTCAGCCATAGCAGGAAAGGCCTAGGCCAGACATGCACAGGGCCTGCCCCAAGGTGCAGGAAACACAAGCTAACAGGTTGGCTTCCACTCTGTCTTGTTTGCTCATCACCACTCACATCTAGTTCCAGCTAATCTTCACAGCGGCCCGTAAGGCAAAGCCCAGCACCCGGATTGCTCCCAATATATAGATGGGAAAGTGAAGCCTTAAAGCTCAGGGCCTGGACCACATTCATCCAGCTCAACGGGCTGCAGAACTGGCCCTGGGACAAGAACATCTCCCGGCATCCTGTCCTCCATTGCAGAGTGGCGGAAGGGCTTGGACCATAGGGAGGGACCCAGTGGGCAAGAGAGCAAAAATTAATCAGTGGCAAGGCTGGGGGAGTGCGGAGAGTAAAGGGAATTGGGAGCAAACAATGAATGGGTGGGGCGGGGGAGCACTAGAATTGATTGTGATGATGTATAGACAACCCTTTATAAAAGCGACTAAACTCTAAAAATAAACAAAAGATAAAAGCGATTTAACTCTGGAAGTGTATGCTATGTGAACTTCATATCAAGAACACTACTTGAAAAAAGAAGCTGAAGAGGGGCATTGCGTTTCCAT